ACTGAGAAATATAGGGAGCGAATTTCAGAGTTTAGGACCTAGGCAATTGTAGACCTGGCCACTGATGGTGGAGTGATTAAAATTAGGATGTTCAAATGATCAGAAATTGTTGAATGCAGATATCTGTGGAGATGGAAAGGATGATGGAGATATGAAGAGGTGAGGCCATGAAGAGTTTTGAAAACAAGGACAACCATTTTAAAGATCAGGCCTCGATTGCTAGGAGCAAATGTAAATCAGTGACCGTAAGAGTTGCACGTGAAAGGGACTTGGTAAGAGTTATGACATGAGCAGAAGAGTTTTGAGTGATCTCAAGATTAAAGCTGAGCAGAGCAACAGAGGCTAAATCATCATGTTCAAAGCATAATGTATGAAAGGCATATTTTATTTTTGCTGCATTTTTGATTGTGAAATGGGAAAAGAACTGATTTAAAAACAAAGGATTGTAGAAAGAATTACTGCACATTTTTAAAAATCGAGTCACCAAACAATCATTGTAAGTGCTGTGTTTGGTTAAGCAGTGGGAGAGGTTCATTGCAGGTAAGCAAATGGAGATTCAGCCAGCAACAAGTGGCTGATTGGGCAGTGGAGTGGTGGCCAATTGTCGATGACAATGGCCTTCTACCTGCTACAAACTGTATGATTGGCTATCAGGCAGCTGAAGAGTTTGTGGCTGTGAATGCTTGGTCAGATGCCATCAGAGCCTCAACCAGGGAGTAACAATCACCTCAAACCTGAAAAAAAAAGTTTATTTTCCCGCATCAGTTGCTGTAAGCTGTGGCTCTTAACTGACAAGTTATTAAGTACATAAGAGTGTCTCCTGCAAGCAAGCAAAGTATCTGGAGAAGCAAGATCCGAGGAGCAGCAAATCCTGACAACCCGAAAGGATCAGCTCAGTGACCCCTGTGGATAAGGATCATTGAACTGCCTTCCCAGACTTCCACTCTGTCCACATCAGCATGTTTTTCTTTTGTCTGTGTGCGTGTGTAGAGGTATTTCATAAGGGAGTTCGCATTTTAACCTCGTAGAGTTATATCAATGGCTTATAAATAGATTCTAGTTACAGCTAAACCATTATTTCTAATAAATAGGAATCGTTCTCAAGTACAGAAACCTGGTCCGTGTTTTTGTAAACCTGGGTCGAAATGGCCAATAAATTGGGAATTTTGATTACTTTTATAAAATCTTTGACTTTTGTGATAACTGCAGGAATATCGGGGCTTGATTTCCAGCTCACTACCACAGTGAGGTATGACAATAATTAAGTGCTGTTTCAGGAGAAGGGCCAAACAGAGCAGTATGACTTAACAACCATTTCTCATTCTTGACTTTTCTTATACTCTCAACACCCAGTAGTCACTTTGCTGAGAGATCTGCTCTTTTTATTGCTGACTATCAATGCACCCTATCTTCAGGCAACCCCAATTGTCTAATCTCATTTTACACAATTAGTTGACACTAACAGGTAACTGGGTGTGATAGAAAACTGTTCCAAATCTCTACCAGAAAATGACAATGAGCTGAATGTGTATAGCATCCAGCAACCTGTGGCAAGGAAGACATACCTTGTTAATAAAGAGGAGGTGATGATCTAGTGATATTAATGCTGGACTGTTAATCCAGAGGCCCAGATGCGAATCCCACCACAGCAGATGGTGGAATTTGCATTCAATAAATATCTGGAATTAAAAATCTAATGACGACTGTGGATCCATTGTTGATTGTCTGAAAAACCCGTCTGGTTCACTCATGTCCATTAGGGAAGGAAACTGCCATCCTTACCTGGTCTGGCCTACATGTGACTCCAGACCCACAATAATGTGGTTGACTCGTAACTGCTCTCTGGGTAATTAGGGATGGACAATAAATGCTGCCTACCAGCAATGCCCTCATCCCAACAATGAATAAAGAAAAGAAATTGCAGACAATCACAAGCTGTCAAGTGACTATGAATTTCAACAAATTTAACATGCTTTAGGGAGTTACCAAACAGATTTATTGTTATGTAAAAGCTGAATCCAGTAGACAATAAATCGTTGTTAGAACATTCCTAGTTCTGAAATTTAAAACTTTCTTAGCTTCAGTTCTTGGTTTTCTCTTCATTCACTCTGTTCCCTTTTCTTTCAGGACTTTCTTTGACTCCAATTTGCCATTTTTCCTTCTCTGTTGTCCCTCTGTTTCCTCCTGTATTTTTAATTTTCATTGGTTAAGGAGATAGAGCTTTGGAGCCATTATTCAGAAAAGTCCACTTCCTGTCATTGTAAGCATGCATTTCCAGCAATTTGCAAGGCTAAATATTTAAAAGTTGAAGCTTGAACCCTCAGCATCTTCTTCAACTAAAGCAGAGTTTCTAAACCCATTTTTTTCCCCAAAACAATACCTGCCCTCTCTAACATATAATGCCTATGTATCACTCCATCTGCTGCTAAAACACATCCAATCTTTCTCACCTCTAAACCAAACTATTCCAATGCTCTTCCAATTGGTGTCCTTCATTCTTTTCTGCTACTTGTACCCTACTCTGTTCAAATTGCAGACACCCATCAATAGAATATTTCTGAATTTAGGAACATGCTACTGGATTGGAAATAAGCTAATGTGTTTTTGTATACAGAAAAGGTGCTGTATTTAGTCCATAATATAGCAGAATCATTAGTTTTACATCAATGACATTCACTTATAGAATCAATCATTCGGAATAAATCTCATTCTGTGCTAATTATCAGGAACTATTGTACAAAAAAATCAGTCTGACAGACTTAATGGATTAGAACAATAGCTCTTCAAAAAGCAATTAGGCTCAGTGTATTTATATCTTTCGAGAATTTTTGATAAGTAGCAGCCTTTCCTATGACGTTTTATGTTCCAAGCCCAATGATTTTTAAGTAAAATTTTGAAATAAATAAGAGATTACTGAAGAAAAGTAATGAGAGAGCACTTGTTAATGCAACTAATGTTGGAGGGGAGTCGTATGGACATTTTGAGTGGAGTACCTCAAGAATTAGTGCTCAGGTCAGTTTAGGTTTCAATTTACATCTATGACTTTTCATAAACTGAAAGCAATTTGGCAAGTTCACCAAGTCAGGGGTGGAAGCATACACAGTCAGAGGATGCAGTCATGAATTAAGAAGTTAAAGTAAATCTATAAACAAAGAATCATGACTGGGAAAAGAGTTACTACCCATCGTAACAAAATGGGGACAACATATATATTGAATAACAGAGAAACAACCAAATATGTGGATAAAAGAATTGCAGATGTTAATCAAGTCAACATACAGTGGCAACCAACAAAGGGTATAAAATACTGAACGATACTGCCAAAATTGAGTCAGAAAATGATATGTTCTGGTCAGACTGCACCTTATGCATTGTTTCAGATTTGGCCGCCAGGGCACCATTGAAACATTCCAGTCCTGGAGGCAATATTGCAGAGCGCAAGAAGACTGGCCCTGAAGAACATAGGCTCAGATTCTGAGGGAAAACTCCAGACTGGGGCTCTTAAGGGTAAAAGAAAAAGTCAGAAGCTGACTTTACAAAAGTATGAAATATTACACAGTATAGAAACAGTAAACCCAAAACTCTACTTCAAGGTTTGTCCTAACAGTGAGATCAGGATGCCTGGACTCCGGGAAATTTAAGGAACACATACTTGTCATTAAAGTGCTCGGCACTTCATCAGGATGGTGCAAGGTGTTTCACAACTAATGTCTTGCCTTGTAATGTAATCATGATAATTTTGCAAGGAAATACACAGCCAATTTACACAAAGTACCATGGACACGAGGGAGGTGAAATCCAATTCACACGAACATACAGAAATGACAGATGAGGAATATAACATGGTCACAATGGCTGGAGCATCATGACGAGAGAATCCAATGGCCTGGCTTGAGATTTGGGATTCCATGATGAATGTTGATAAGGCACTGGGAGAACAGCCTGATCATTGAACGTGTGTCATTGTACCCTTTATGTCATCCCAATGAAACAGATGAGTCTACTGTTGACTGGGAGATGCAGAACTTTTAGCAATGCAGAACTGCCAATAGCTTTGAGCTAATTTGGGACAGATTTAGACTCTCAAATGATGGTGAGGTCAAAACCCATGAGGATTAATAAAGAGCAAGTTGGATGACTTAATCAGAGGATCAGTTTCTTTTCTTTTAGACAAATGGGCTGAATGGCCTTAATCATCTGTATATATTTTGCGAAATCATTGTACAGTTTTGGAAAGTTCTTGCTAGAGTTCACTCGTGAGGAAATACCAGTTGCTGTTTAATTAGTTTCATGTTAGAGTGATAGAGGATTGGTTTGCATTTCCAAGTCTTACAAAAGTGGTAACAGATTTTACCAAACTGTAAGGAAGCAGCTTGGAATTTACAATGTGGTACTCCCATACCTGGAGGCTGTGGTATGATTTGCTTTGATGTACCTGCTGGTAATAATCAGTAGTTGACCAACAGCAGAACCATCCTAGTGCCCTGTGTAGGGCGAATCAGGTGATCAGTCCATGCCCCATGGTGAAGTGGGAGGTTTGGGGGGTTTGGGGTGGGGGGTGGGGGAGAGTTGTCTGTGCTGGCACCTTAGAGGAACTGGCAGCCAAGGTGGAAGGTGACCTTTTGAATAGGTGAGAGTACGACTCTTTTTTTGTTTTGTTTCTGGTTTATTTTGAAGATGGGGATGGAAGAAAAAGCTTGAGGGAGTGGGGGTGCATGGATTTGTCCTGGGAGGAGAGGGGCCCTGCACAGTGTGAATTGTCCTAGGCCCCAGACTCCACTAGGGATGGCTTTTTCCAACTGCAAGCTATTTGTGTGAGGACTGGGTATGAAGCAGGGAGGACCTATCAGGACCATGTCTTGCAGTGTCTTTGTGTTAGATGAGAGGAAGTTTTTAATCTCTTGATCAACCACAGCCCTGTGTTTTGAAAGGCATATTGAAATAAAGATTAAGTCAACAGATTTTCAGAGTCGACAAAACAAAAAGCAAAGCAACACAAGAAAAATGTGGAACATTTAATTGTTGCAACAACACTTATACAAACATTCAAAAATTTAAATCTCACAGATAAAAATATATAGTTTATGAAAATACATCATACAATCCTGAAAAACCTTTGATCCTATAGTTTAAAATGTAGAATGGTGTTCATTGGTAGCACTTGGTATATTTTCCTATTTTAGCAATCTCTTTAATTCAGCAACATTTGATGGAAGGTATATTTGGATCTTGGTAGATAATTGTTGGAACTACACTGCAGCTAATCTATTGATCAAGTTGTCAATTAGTGGTTTCTTAGAAGGTGATATCTTAATACTGCCTCTAAACGGTCATTTAAATGATAAATGAGACATCCAGTGCAAATTTGTATTTGTAACATGGACTGCCTATGAACATGCTGGTTTGTCCATATCTGCCAACGATGTTTAATATTGAAGACAACTTCGAATATGTTTATGTTGTAGTCTGACAAACAAATATGCTTTCTTCGCTGATACTGTAATGTAGCAATCTTTAGTTTCATGTCAATTCACTACCCTGTCAGTTTAAGGTATCTTTACAACATAGTTTTCCTCGTTAAAGATCAGTACTTATACATAACTTAAATATTTATTGTTATAGATGTGATGGTTCCACTAAGTCCATAGGCGGTTATGTCCACAGTGTTTAAAGTAGTTCAGTGGCATCTCCTGGTGGTGCCCCAGTGACTAAATATATTATGTACGGATGAGCCATATATGCCTGTGGAAGTAAAAGCTCCATCGGTAGTCCGTAGTGAGTTTGCTAACTACTGACAGAGCACCATGGGGAGGGGAAGGACCTCTGGATTGGGGAAGAGGAAATTTAGCCCTTGCTTCCATATTTGACAGCCATCCATCGACTCCTCTTGGAAGAAGACGTTTGGACCATGGAGGAGGACAAGGTCGAGTTCAGTTGTAAAGCCCTTTGATGTCTAAGAGCTCATGTCACACACTGTCCAGTTTCAAACTCGCGAATGATACTGGAGGATGAACACCAACTACCAAACGGTACTCCAGAAGCAAGAGTCACTACCTTCAGAAAAGACTGGGGGAAATTTAATGGGGAAAAATAAGGATCAGAGTTTTCAGTTGAACACTTGTAGCCTTGAGGGAAAACATCATCGTTCAGTCTAACTGGAGAAAGGAATACTATCATTGTTTTGACTGAACTCTGATCTGACCTCTGAATCCATTGTCTAGAATGAACTGGGCTGCAATATTTACTGAGCCGTCCTCTTACGATTCAACTTCATCAGTGTGATTCCTTCCAACAATGTGCAGTTACAAGGTGCACTGTAACGTTTAAAAGTACTTGTGAAGTTCAGGAATCTGGAGGGATAAGAAAACACTTTCTCGATCTTTCGGTGCTAATTCGTGAAGATGTCTCAGATGATCACTGGGCTTCATTCACATCCATAAAGTCTTATACTTCCACTTCTGGGGCTTTGGACAAACCCAAGGCTTGGACCACGTCCGGGGTCAGACCACTCTTCAGGGTTCGCCGTACTGCACAGAAAGAGCAATCACCATTAGTACAGGAAGACTGAACACTTCTATCTAGTACTCTGGCCACTCTCACCCAGTTCCTAATGGGATGACCATGGAAGTTCCTCTGAAATGGTGCAAACCTGCACAGCAACATTCCATTCAGGGAATATAACCATTGTGGGAGATATTACAATTCACACTGGTGCGCCTGAAATATTCTTCTCGGATACAGAGAAAGTCATTTCACCAGGACAGGAGAGAGTGGATCAGGTTATGGACCAACATCAGGTTGGCCTTTGACAGAAGAACAAACTTGTTTTTATACAGCATGTTTCTTAACCTCCGGATGTCCCATAGCACTTTATAGCTGTTTTGGAAGTATACTCACAGGTATATTCCACACGATCACAGTATGATAACAACCAGCTAATCTTGTCTACGCTATGGAGCTAGTGAAAGGCCCGTGCTGCCTGTTCCTAGGCTCATGAACAACACACCAATCAGGCAATGACAAGGCTGAACGAGGGCCTTTGCCCACAATTAAGATCCCAGGGACGGAAGCCGTGCCCAGCAAGTGCTGCCAGTCAAAAAGTGGCAACTCTTGCACTTAGCAATGCCACAAAGTGAGATTTGAACCCATAAGTCATAGAGTCAAGAGCTTATAGCACAGAAGCAGGCCATTCAGCCCATCTTATCCATGCCAGTGAACAAAGATCTGACTACACCAATCGCATTTTCCAGCTCTTAGCCCATTGCCTTGGATTCTATGACAATGCAAGTGAACATAGGTTCTGCATGGTAGACTGGTTAGTAAGGTTAGATCATATGGGATCCAGGAAGAGATGGCAAATTGTTTCTGTGCTATATGACTTTATGGCTCTGTCTAAATGCTGCTTAAATGTAACTAGAGTTTCTGACTTGATCACGCTTTCAGGAAGTGAGTTCTGGACTCTCACTGCCCTCTGGGTGAAAACATTTTTCCTCAACTCTCCTCTTACCTTAAATCTATGGCCCTGGTTACTGACATCTCTACTAATGCAAAAAGTGCATTCCTGTCTATTCGATCTGTGCCCCTCAAAATCTTATACATTTTTGTTCTACTCTCAACCTTTGTTGCTTCAAAGAAAACAACCCCAGCCTCTCCAATCTTTCCTCATAGCTCAGACCCTGCAGACCAGGCAACATCCTGGTAAATCTTCTGTGCACACTCTCCATTGCTATCACATCCTTTACATAATGTGGTGACTAGAACTTCATGCATTACTCCAAGTGGGGCTCAATCAGCATTTATACAGGTCCTGCAGAACATCCCTGCTCTTGTATTTGATTCCTCAGCTAATAAAGGCAAATGTCTCCTACCTGTCTCCTTCACCACCTTAGCTCCCTGCCCTGCTCCTTTCAGAGATCTCTGGATACACCCACCAAGGTCCCTCTGATCATCTGTACTCTCCAAGGTCCTACCATTCATTATGTAATCCTGTGCTTTGTTAGCCTTCTCCAAGTGCATTACCTCCTGCTTTTCCAGTGAATTCCATTTGACATTGGGCGGCACGGTGGCTCAGTGGTTAGCACTGCTGCCTCACAGCACCAGGAGCCCGGGTTTGATTCCACCCTTGGGCGACTGTCTGTGTGGAGTTTGCACATTCTCCCTGTGTCAGCGTGGGTTTCCTCCAGGTGCTCTGGTTTCCTCCCACAGTCCAAAGATGTGCAGGCGAGGTGGATTGGCCATGCTAAATTGCCCGTAGTGTTCAGGGATGTGTGGATTAGGGGAATGGGTCTGGGTGGGATGCTCTGAGTGCCGGTGTGGATTTGTTGGGCTGAAGGGCCTGTTTCCACACTGTAGGGATTCTATGATTCTATGACATTCCAGTCTGCTGAAAATCTTTCTGCAATTTACAGCTGTCCTCCATATTTACCATCCTACCGATATGTGTCATCTGCAAACGTCTTTATCATCACCTTCAGACTCAAAAGGAGTGCATTACCAACAGGACCATGGCCAACATCTAACCTGACCTGGCATTCTGGTTAATGGCACTTTGTAGGAATGTTGAGTAGTGCACGGCAAATTGCTTTAATTCCCAATACTGACTGTTCACTTCGCAGATGTTAACACTTACCTCCTCCTCTCTCAAATAAAAAAACTTCTAATCAATCATTTTTTTATTAACTGGAACTGATGATATTTTACAATTCTGTTTACCAACGTTTGGCAGCATGAACCATGCTGACAATAAAAATATGAATTAAAGCAGCATCAAATTTGCCCTCCACAGAAAGCAAAGGGACAAATCCTTAACCAGCTACCTGAAATACAAGTGACAGTAAGTGGCTATTCTGTTCTAAAAATAGACAATTCACATGCTGAAAGATCAGGAAAATTATAGAAATTGTAAAAACCCCAGTTAGAGAGCAAATGAAGGGCACTGCCTGAAGACTTGTATTTTAATTGTTTCAATAAGTGTGATAAAAAGATTCTGAAATTTCATATGGGCCCAACCACAAGTAACAATTTCCAATGGCAATCCTGGATAATTAAAGAAGCATAAAAAAAACAGAAGAGACCCTTCAGCCCATTGTACTGCCAAAACTACACTGAATCTACACTAATTCCACTTTCCAGCACTAGGCCTATAGCCTTGAATGTTATGACATTTCAAGTGCTCATCCAAGTACTTTTTACTGGTTGTGAAGGTACCTGCCTTAACTATACCCTCCCAGGCAGTGCATTCCAGATCTCCAATCTTTCCTCCAATTCCCCCTGCCTTTCACCTTAAAAGTGTGCCCTCCCATTGTTAACTCTTCAACTAAGGGGAACAGCTACTATCTGTTCACCCTGTCCATGCCCCTCATAATCTTATACAATTCAATCATGTTCCTCCTCAACCTTCTCTGCTCCAAAGAAAATAACCCAAGTTTATCCAGCCCCTGTTCATAACTGCAATGCTCCATTCCAGGCAAAATCCTGGTGAATCTCCTTTATATCCCCTCCACTGCTATCACATCTTTCCTTCTGGTGCAGTGACCAGAACTGCACACAGTGCTGCAGCTGTGGCTCTTACAATCTATGCTTCAACCGATAAAGGCAAGTTCCCATGTTCCTTCTTAGCTACCCTATTATCTAGCCCTGCTGCCTTCAGGGATCTGTGGTCAAGTATCACAAGATCCCTCCATTCTTCTGAGCTTCCTAATGACCTGCCATTCATTGCGTACTCCTTTGTCTTGTTACTGCTTTCAAACTGTACCATCTCACTCTTAACAGGGATAAATTCCACCCTACACAATCCATTTCTATACCCCTGTAACTCAAGACTTTCTTCCACATTGTCGAAACACTTGACCCACTTACGTGCCATCCAAAAACTTACTTATCACCCTGCATTTTACCAAGATTAATCCACCTAGCCTGCACATCCCTGGACACTACGGGCAATTTCCCATGGCCAGTCCACCTAACCTACACATCTTTGGACAGTGGGAGGAAACCCACACAAATAAGGGGAGAATGTGCAAACTCCACACAGACAGTCACCCAAGGCTGGAATCGAACCCAGGTCCCTGGCGCTCTGAGGCAGCAGTGCTAACCACTGAGCCACTGTGCTGTTCTGTGGCTGTAAATTTTGCAATGGCAAGATTGCTTACATCCACTTCTGCAAAATTTCCTAACTTCAATCCCAATTCAGCTCATCTGCTGTCAAGCCCTCATTTGTGGGTGTGTGAGATTGATATTTGATTATTTCAGTGTTAATTTGAGACTTTGCCTATTGCAGTGTTAGACTGGGACTTTGCCTATTGCAGCGTTAGACTGGGACTTTGGCTATATCAGCACTCTCCAAATTAACTTTCGGTCTTACACCTGCCTCACCCTTGAGTTTATCTGAAACACTGCTGCCTGTAAACCCTCTCACACCTAGTTCCCTTCCCCCTTTGCCTGTGTTATCATTGACCTATGCTAGCACCTGGTTGACCTTGGTTTAAAAGTTCTCATCCTTATTTGGAAATCCTTCCCTGGCATCAACCTCCCTGACTCTGTAACCTCCTCCGGTCCTACAGCCATCAGATATTTCTCCAGTCATCCAAATTGGGGGTCTGGCTCTTGTGCGTTTTCCATCTCTTCAGCATTGCTTGCAGTGCCTTCAATTGTCTAGGTCCTGCTCTCTGGAATTCCCTGTTAAATCTCTTTGCCTCTTCAGCTCTCCTTTCTGATGCTCCCTATGCCCACCTTTCTGATCACCTATGATCGCCTTGTGAGAGGGGAACACAGGATGCCTTGTGACACGGTAGGTAGCATCATTGCTTCTGAGCCAGAGGCTCTGGGTTTGAGTGACCCACAGAAGGCGTGTTTGCATTGTGATCTAATAGGTTGAGTATCAAGTTTTAAGTCTTTCCAATGCATCTATGGTAAGTGATGAAAGCAGGAAAGTCTGCTTGATGTGGTGTTGCAGCCATCAAGCTAGACCATCTGGTGACAGGGTAGAAATCTCTCATAGGAAAATCTAGCTGTGAAAACAGACATAAACATATACTTTGCCACATGTGCCACTACGCACGGAACAGCAGGAAGGAAGGTCTCTTTCTGCGGTTTAGTCTATCATTTTGTTTGATAATATTCCTGTGAAACCCTTTGAGATATTTCACTCTGTTAAAGGTGCTATATAAATGGAATTTGATGTTATGGCTTTCTGAGGGAATTGCAATTCTGTGCAAATTGCTTGGATCCTATTTGTCGATTTCTTCTAAATGTCAGGCTCGAGGTCAATGGCTGGTTTTCTTTTCCTGTAACAATGGTGCAGTTGCATTAAATATGTCAATTTCTGTTGGCAGTTTGAAACTAATTGGCTTGCTCCAACCATCTGTATTATAGCACTTATCTTGAAAAAAGACTGACTTCAAAGAAAACTGTATTATTACAATGCAGTTGATTTTTCATATGATTAAAGGCTAGTGAATGTTGCACCCATAAAATGGAGGGGTAGTTGGCAAAAGGTCACTCATATTAGTGAATGAATCACATTATCACAACAAGCTAGACAAAGGTGTGAGCTAGTCGCTGCATGCCATGTTACTTTTCATAATCCTGAGTGACAGTGTTACGTGCCCTGAGGAATTATACCAATATGAATAATGCAACGTGCGTGTACATTTTTCATTATAAATGACTCACTAGGTCAGATACTTGGACAGTGTAATATCACAACCAGTAAGCCAGAAGGTCAAATCCTACAGTTGTCCATCATGCCAATTCACATGCTTCAGGGAAAAGAATTTATCTGTTTATAATCAGAGTGGGGAACAAAATGGGAGACATGGTGAAATAAAACATTCAGCATATTCTACCTGTAGTTTATTCACTGCCAAAGGATCGCTATTACAGCACATAGCAATGTGTGTCATAGTGAGCTGCTTATGACAAAGAAACAACTTGCAAATGATAAAGATAAGTGGATCTATTCAATAAACAAGAAAGCCAACGATGAGCATTCAGCAAACCTATACCATATTCTGCACCGATTCACATGAGCTGAGAAATAGCTTATTGACGAGGGACATATGAGTGCCCTGAATCTAAACTTCACTGGTTCATATTGAGTGCAGAGGACTGCAGCAAGGAGAGCCCAGAACTTACAAAATTCAATGAGAAATGTTGCAATTGAGAAGCATCTTTGTAAATAATAAAACTATATTCAACTAGAGGAACCTGGAGGATTTTAACATAATTACACATGGCTAGCTGACAGTTATCAAACTACAAATTTTCCTATCTTGAAGGTTTATCTCAAATTATCAGTTATGATCAGAGCTGGACATTCAACATGACCAAGATTCTGGATCTGAGAACCACACTGCAGTATTCCCAAATAAAAACCAAGAAAACAGCGGATGCTGGAAGTTAGAAACAAAAGAAGAAATTGCTAGAAAACCTCAGCAGGTCTGGCAGTATCTGCGGATAGAAATCAGAGTTAACATTTCAAGTCCAGCATTAACACTGATGTCTCTCCACAGATGCTGCCAGACCTGTTCAGCTTTTCTGTTCTTGTTTCTGCAATCTTCCCATATGTACATTCCAATCATTATTTCACTTTTTGTACAGTTATTTAAATATGGTTTATGCTTCATGCCTTTTACTTCCTACCTTGCTGTCTGTGAGGATTTTTCAATGCGATTGGTTGATCAGACTGCCTGTCCGTTGCTGATTGCCACAAATCCTCATAAACAGCAAAGAATTCAAAGTGTGCTTGGAATGGAGGGTATCTATGCTCCAGAATTTATTTTGTTCTCAGCTTTTCTCAAGGCTAGGACTTACTAACTCTTCGCCAATGACTGTATAACTTGGGCCAACGTTCTGCCTCAGCTAATTTAACTTCAGCAACTTCAAATTATATAGCATCTTCAGACGAAGAAAAAACGTCCCAAAGTGTATTATAGGAGTAAAATCAGACACAGGGGATACTGAATGTCAACAGGCAATAACAGTAAGGGCAGGAAGTGATGCTGCTATCACTGGAGATGTTTTACCTTTGACTGGTTAGATAAGAGTGAAAGGGTTTATTTTAAACAGTTCAGAGTAAAATTTTGTTATATAGCATATATATCAAGTTATGGATTTACAAATATGGAAATGCTATATAAAATATGGAAACATTACCATTATTACAAGGGACAGTTCTTTTATCATAAGGATTCTGTTGAAAACACGGTCCTGTCTTGTTAAAAATAAATGGTAAAGTTGTTTCATTTTGTATCTCCCAAGGTTTTAAGGAAAGAGTCACCGCTCTTGCAGCAACCTCCTGCCCACTCCCACAAAGACCTGATGTCAATCATTAGAGATGAAAACACTTACAAGATTTCCTATTTGCTCGTGACCTCTTGCGTTCCTTTGGGGTAGATGGCCTCTGGTTGGGATTCTGAGTGACCGATTTGACCAGGCGGTCCATAATTTCATCAGTAGCATCATCAGGTGGAGTCGCTACTTCATCTTTAGGAACAGAAGGATGAGGCGGACTGACCCTTCCTATAGCTGTAAATATCAAACGAGAAAAAATAGGGCTTTCAGTTGAGTATAAAAACGACTGCTGCACTGATGTTTGTAATGCATAGTGTGATCAAAGATCAAACATTTCTGCTAACCTGGTGTCTTTAGTAGATGAAACAAATGCAATACACAACTATGTGCAAACTGGGCAACCAGTTGTATACAATAAAGACACAAACTAGACTCTTATCTTTCCATAATTATTTCTAATAAAGAGTATCAGAGCTAAATGATTGTGTTTTTATAAAATCAATATTATCAATGCAATGGACAGCTTGAATGCTTCCTTGCCTGTTTAATCAAAGAGGGTTACCATATATCCTGTACTGGAGTTTGTATAAAATAATTGGCCCATAATCTCTACTGAACTCCAATTGGGAATGATCCTACACAAAACTTCTGCAGGGAGCCCCACTATCTGTGCCAAGGTCCAACCTAAAGCTCCAATGTTTCAGTTGGGAAGTGCCAAATGCTGAGTCGACTGAAAATAAGGTATCATCAGATTTCATGTTTAGCCTGCTCAGAATTACCACTTCTGAACCACAGTGGGTGTAGGGATCAACTTCTGTGATAGGGAGAATTAAAAAATAAATCAGCCAAGGTTCCTGCCCCCAGTTACTATACATCAGGAAAGAACATGTTTATGGAAGACAGATGTGAGCATCATCTGTTAGGTTGTATTGCACATCATGGTGAAATAGCCAGACAATACTCTCCATGTTGCTTCTAAAATAAAATCACTCAATTGACAGGATACTGAACGGTGTTTGTTAGAGATGGATTGTGACCTCAACAAGGGCCCGTACTATCAAGTGATGAAGGCAAGAGGAGTTGAACCATCTGCAGCAGCTTTCACAGTATACATCTAAATTCTACAGTAATTAATCCCAAAGGATTCTAAACTGTTTCTTAAAAGAATACAATAAAATACAAAGAACAATGCTAAATCCTGAAATGGATTATGGTAAATGTTGCCCCAGGACTGAATGTTGGAGAGAATTTCACCTTCGTTCACACTAAATTGGTAAGCTACAGTCCGAGATGTGCAGATTGCTAAAATGCTCTGGCTAGACATAATGCAAAGAGCAGCATGGGCAACTCCCAAAGAAAAAAAATGTTCGAAGTAAAGCTCACATCTGTTGCCTCTGCTCCTTCGAGTCTGTGGTTCTGAAACTGACAAAATATTCTTCATGTTCTCATGCTCCTCATCTGCTTGTAGCTGGTGATCTGGCGTTTCAGGGGCTGGGCTACTCTCAGTGCTACCAGCTGCTGTGGAGAACTTTGCAGTCTGCAATAGTTTGTGTAGAGAAATATCACTCAGTTAGACTGGTTTTCAACATAAAGCGGGCTTGTTTCTGCTCACAATGACCAGAAAGCTTTGGTCTCTTCATGACACACAAAATGTTATAAATTAATGGGAAACTTTACAGCGAACACTACATAAAAAATAAATATTTGAAGCGGACAGCCTGTTGCCTTAATTGGATATAATATTACTTGTCTCTCCATTAATAGGTGATTAACATAAATACTTACTTGGTGTTCGGACAGTACATTATTAATATGCTAACACACAAACTCTTGTTGTTTTATCATGCTGTCACTGCTTTTTGAGGGAAATACTTGACACTCAAAATGTTCAACGAATGCAACCCAGCAACTGGCAAAGCCAATATAAAATAACATGAAGCTAAAACAGTAGACTACAAGTCAGAGGTGACTGGAATCAGACCACAGTGCTCTGGTCAGACTAGGGTCCTGTTCTGGTCACCAAGTCATGACGGAAATGTTCAATTCTTAGAGACAGTGCAGAGAAGGCTGAACATATGCAAAAAAAACCCCAGGCTCTTTGGCCTTAAAAGGAGGCATCTTGCACTGAAGTTAGGAATTATTTAAGATAGTCAATGGTATGGAAAAGATGAACCGGAAAAATACCAGCATAAGTTGCAAGTTTTGGAGAAGGAATGCAGGTTCAAACAAAGGGGAACTTCACATGAGCACACACAAACATGCAAACACTCAGTACTTGATTTGATATATTTATTGTCATGTGTATCTTGTTACAAAATACAGTGAAAAGTGCTGTATGGTGTATAGTACTTATTGGATGGATAGATTCGTGGAGATAAAAAACTGACAATTCTTCAAAGGCAGTTGGATAATGCCACAACGACACCCAGGGTCTTTCTGGACATTTGTACCATGATAGACCTAATGGCCTCCCTTATCCACAAATACTTTGTGAACCCTGAAGAGAAAAACTTAATCTCCTGTGGACTTTTCTCTCATTACACAACTAAATTCAAAACATCACGCTTTAATTCATTGTTTTCTTAAACCGTAAACAAAGACATTCATTGTGAAACTGTGTCAGTCTATTTTGGTGTTGATGCATTTCGAGTAAAGTGACACTGCCACCATTTTACACACACAACAGTAGCCTTTTAAATCTGAAAAACTGCACTTTTACAAATTGCGGTGTTGTTGTATTTGATGAGAAGATAATGGAATAACCACTTAACTATTGGACTGAATTATAATCCACAGAATAAGGGACATTTCAGTCGGATGATCATGCTCAGGTATTGTCACACTTTTTTGATTTGTGTCTGTTGTAGATATGTGACCCCATTTGATGCCTTTTTAGTGTATTCTCTGAGTTTGGAAGAATGAAACTTGTTTGGCGTATGCTTAACATTTTGCAACCATTTGTGTTCCTGATATGTGATTAACCAAAGGCCAAATGTGCAGTGACAAATGTACTTGAAAATAACTCAAGCAAATCAAAAGGTAAGAGTGCTCAAAAATAATCTTGCATTGGATTGAACATTGCAATTGGTCTTGAAAAGCAAACAAACAAAAACTCTCTCCTGGGTCAGACTGACCTCACCAAAATAACACAGCCCAGAGCCAAATATTAAAACAGAGTTGGACATTTTTCCGATTTCATATCTAATTCTAAACAAAAAAAAATCAGACATGGTGCACGTTCTTCAGTTTTATAACCAGAAATCTCTTGAGAGTAACCAGAAGAGTTCAAATCCTGTGCTTGTCATCCTGACCTACACACTCAGAGACACCGTCGTTCTTACTGAATTATTTTCTGGTGTAAAATTAAAATTGTTCAAAGGCCAAACTCAATTCAAATTACACGTGAGCTGAAAGTCATCATATTATTTTTGTTAGAATGTCGCTGCACATAATTGCTCAGTATGAAAAGCACCAACTTGGAGGAAAAGCAAGTATTTTCTAGGCAGGTGACAGGTTGAGTTTAGGGAAGATTGATCAATGAGACCAAGAGCTCCAAAGAAGGTTTCAGCCCGCTCCCACCAGACTGAATGGGTAGAAAACAAAACTACAGAATGAATGACAAAACCAAACTATGGATTTCTCTATCTGCTTGCCTCAGTTTACACCGACTTTAGTCTCTGGAGTTTAATGCTCTTGTAAGCAATGAAGGCAACTTATTAACAACCCTATATTTATTAGATAAAGAGATTTTCCACATAGCGTTATAATGTCGCTCAAGATTTGTTGTGTGCACTTTCTCCCATATAACATTCGAATATTGATAGGCAAATCAAATTAGTAGCATTATAAATTTTATAAATGTAAACACATGGAGAATACTTACACAAAATGGAGGAAGATAAAAATACTACTCAACGCAATGTTGTTGAGGAGGTGCAGAATTGTACCAAAGGTTATGTGTGATCAGCACAGTGTGCACTCCAAGAAAGGAAACAAGGCTAATTCGGGGATACAACAGCAATTTGAAAGTAATTTTTGGCTCTTTAGCAAAGTAGGAACAACGCCTCTTGCTATAGTAAAACAAATGTCTTTCTCAAATAAATCTGATAAACTTTCTAAGAGGAGACTTTATTTTGTAGAATGGCAGATGGAATGATATTGCAAACTGAGAAGCCCTGAAGCGAATGACCAAAGCCCATTTGTTGATGTCAATGGTAACCCATTTACAATGAATAAGTTACTATTGATGTTTGGTTTGGAAAACCTTGACTGCTTGTATAGCACACCAGCAAGATAAGAAAAGACAAAATGAGAGTAATCACAACACAGTGACTGGGCAATGCCAAGCTTGGATTTTAAAAGCCTGTTTGATTGCAGAGGTTAGTAAGGTTGAGCAAGACATGGAGATGAATGTTTATACATTCTGGAAAGAATGATTTACTGTTCCTGTTCACAACTTTGAAGACATAGGAAACAGACAGAGTCATAGAGCATGGAAACAGACCTGAAGGACAACATATATGAATCTTTGGAAGAACAAGCCAAAAAGCTCAGAGAACTAATTATTACAGTACTATTTAACAACGATAAGATGCCTAGAAAAGCTGCAACAGAGAGAGAGACAATTGGCAGTTATCTAATGACAGCCTTTTCGTACTGGATCCAGAGGGCGAAAGGGGTATTAGAAGAGAGTTTCTGAATATGCAACGAATTATCATCTGCGAGAATGTAGAATTTACAAAACAAAATCTAAGCTGTTAAAAGGGAAAAGAAGCGATAAGCAAGAAAAAGGAAGTTCCAGTTTGTTTGTAATGGAGATACTTCTGATTCGCCATTTGGAGGACAAAGGATTGCCTTAAGGTTAATCTGATGTTGTGACTCAAGAGTAACAACCATTTTCTAGTTTATTATCTATGAAGCTGCTTCCGCTACTGTGTCCAGACATAAAGGTACAGCTTCCAGCAATTACTCCCACTTCAGAATGATGCAGCAATGGGTTCCTGAGTATTGCTATCACTCACTGAAGTTAAACAAGTTTTTCAGTCCTTGCTGTTGGTGGCTTTGTCAACTGAATATGTTACAGAAAACAAAGAAAACGTTCATTGAAAATTTGTTAGCAGAGGTAGGTTCCAAAAGTAAGCATAACAAATGAGTATTTGCACATCCACTGTTATAATTAGATGACCGTACTGATACCCTTAATGCATTCAACTGGGGTGTAATTGCAGTGCAATTTACGTGACTTCCTTACTCTTGGTTTAAGTTGCAAAATTATTCTTAATTTCTGCAGAAGACTTGGCACCGAATGCGGACACTTATCTGAAACTAATTTGCTCTGATCTTTTATGTTTATGTTACAAAATAACGGGTGGAACTTGTTCATGTTGTTTCGGTTTGCAGTTGTTTCATCTCAGATCCCTCAGCTCCTCCTTGGTGCTATTCCAAGGAGTATTTCAGAATCTCCACAACAATCCTCTACCTGAACCGAAACCCTGAGAGTTCAGAGATTTGATAGTGGCTGGACAGGGACAGAATCTCAGCCTCCAGTCACAACATTGGTCGTGCTCAGATCACGGAATTTGTAATCATTACATTTTCCTGTGGCATTGACTTGCCTTTCACTGGATTTTCAGTTACCAAGATATTATAATCTGATAAGGTAACTCTGGCCTCTTGAATATATATTCAGGCCCTCAAGAGAGGAAATACAAGCCCATAATTCACCACTTAGAAGCAAGCTTTGATCTATAGTGCCAAGCTACTATGCAGACCTCCCCAGCGCACATCCAGAATGTCAGTGATACTTGGGGACTTTAAAAGATGACCTCATGCAGACCAGGAGGCCAATGCCCTTAGAAACAGAACACTCACACAGCTCTGCCTCCTGCATTGCACATTTATTCCTTTCAAGTGCTGTTAGATTAAAAATCTTTCATCGACCTTGTCAAGCATTTCCTCTGCAGTGGTTCAATTAATTCCAGCTACCAATAGCTGAATCGGCTCCTCCAAAATGGAGACAATTCCTCAAGTGGTAATGGCGATGCTAAATGTTTCCATTTCAGACATAGCAGATAGCAATAAGAATTGTGGTGTTTCTTTATTCCAAGTCTAGCTGGGCTAAATTATGTACCATGTTTAAAAAAACTTTTTGTATAAAAATACAATTCACCTTGTTACAAAGTGATTTTACATTTCAATTCCTGAGTGTATGAACCTATCTCAGACATATCTGATCCCTTGGACCTGTGCCTTCATTCCTCTCTGCATTGTTTTGCAAAGATTCTTCCAATATGTTTCAATTTACGGCCCCAGTGCTAAGCCATGAAAAATCCAGGGCTAGAAGAATTTCTATAAGGCTCTGAAGGCGGAAATAATGCAGGAATTACTTACAAGCTTTTAAACAATAACCAATACTGTCCCTTCACTGGGTTTTTATTGTCATATAAGGTAAGGAAATCAGATACCTGGGCCGGGAGGCGTTGTTAATGTTTACAGCTACTGAAGAAATTCCATTTCCAAAAAACAATGAAGCCAATTGAATAAACTCATCATTCACATGTCTGGAATATGAAGCTTATTCCAGTCATTTGAGGATAACAGATTTCTGCAAATGATACACAAAAAGCAAAAATTGCTGGAGAAATTCAGCAGGTCTGGTAGCCACTGTAGAGCAAGCAGAGCCATGCTGTACGACTCTACGACTGACGTTTTGGGTCCAGTGACCCGTCCTCAGGACTGACTTGTAGCGAGGAGAAGGTGATACATAATGCTGAAAATATGGGGTGAGATAGGGGGGAAGGAGTACGAGGTGGGGCTGGAGTCTATAGAGAGAGAGCAGCAGGTTGGCTGACAAAGGGATGGATTATGGTGAACCAGAAAGAAAGAAAAGCTGATAATAGGGACCATTAGTAGATGAAAATGGATTGCTGTGATGAAAGCCACCAATATCATGGTGGGGGTCGGGGTGTGCGACTGGGTAAATGACTTGGAAGAAGGTATTTAGGCTCTAAAATTATTGAATTTGATATTGACTCCTGAAAGATGCAGGGTCTCCAAGCAGAAAATGAGGTGTTGTTCTTCCAGCTTGCGCTGAGCTTCACTGGAACATTGCGGCAAGCCTGAGGCAGAGATGCTGGCCAGGGAACAGGGTGGTGTGTTAAAGTGGCCGGCAACTGGATACTCAGGGTCTTTTTTGTGGACACAATGTAGATGTTCTGTGAATCGGTCACCCAGTCTGCGCTTCGTTTCCCCAATGTAGAGAAGACCACGTTGTGAGCAGCAAATGCAGTAGACTAGATTGTGGGAAGTGCAGGTAAAGTGCTGCTTCACCTGCAAGATGAGTTTGGGCCCTTGGATACTGAGGAGGGTGGATGTAAATGGGTAGGTGTTACACCTTCTGCAATTGCAGGGGAAGGTGCCGTGGGGCTATGTGCAGGGTGTTGGGAGTGAAGCAGGAGTGATCCAGGGTGTCCCAGAGGGAACAGACCCTGCGGAAGACTGACAAGGGAGGGGAGAGGAATATGTGCCTGGTGGTGGCAACGCGCTGGAAGTGGTGGAAATGGTGGCTAATGATCCTCTGGATGTGGATGCTATTGGGATGGTGGGTAAGGACAAGGGGAACCCTATTGCTGTTGTGGGAGGGAAGAGTCGGGGGTGAGGGCCGAAGAGATGGATCGGATGTGGCTGAGGGCCCTGTTGACAATGGTGCTGGGGAATTCTCGGTTGAGGAAGAAGGTGGGCATTTTGGAGGCTCCCTTGTCAAAGTTGGCATCATCAGAACAGAAGCAACGGAGATGAAGGAACTGGGAGAACGGAATGGAGGCTTTACAGGAAACAGGGTGTGAGGATGTATAGTCAAGGTAGCTGTGGGAGTCGGTGAGATATTTGTAGTGGATATTAGTGGCCAGTCTATCCCCAGAAATGGAAACAGAGATGTCGAGGAAGGGAAGGGAGGAGTCAGAAATAGACCAGGTGAAAGTGAGGGCAGGGCGGAAATTGGAGGCAAAATTGATGACGTTTTCCAATTTCAGACAAGAGAGGGAAGCAGCACCGATGATATCATTGATATATTGGAGAAAGTTTTGTGGTTTGGGGCCAGAATAGGACTGGAAAAAGGAATGTTTCACATACCCCACAAAGAGACAGGCATAACTGGGGCCCATGGCCACCCCCCTGACCCGAAGAAAATGAGATGAGTTAAAAGAGAAGTTGTTCAGAGTGAGGATGAGCTTGACCAGATGGAGGAGGGTGGTAGTGGATGGGGACAGTTTGGGCCATTTTTTTGTGTTAGTGGTACCCTGACAGTACCAAATAGTAAATAAAACCAGGAAAAGCTGGAAAGAGAGAGAATCAGAGTTAACATTTCACCATTGACCTGGAACATTAACTCTTTTTCACTTTATACATATTCTGCCGAAGCAGCGCTCTACAGAATCATTGAAACCTTACAGCCCAGGGAGAAAACCACTAAGTATGTGTCGACTCACAGCCAGAGCAACTCAGCTAATACCCCCTGCCAACTCCATCTTTACCCTGTAGTCCCCCTTTTTTTCTTTTACCAATCACTTTAAATTGGTGTCTCCTTCTTATTCACCTACCTGCCACCAATGGGAGCAATTTCTCCGCAGCGACTACATCAACACCTCTCATGATTTTGATTTACCTATGAACAAGGAGTAGGCCATTCAGCCCCTCAAGCTGGCTTTGCCATTCAAGACCAAGGCCAGAACTCAACATTCCAGCCTGCCCTCGATAACTTTCAGCTCACTTGTTGGTCAATAATCTCTTTACCACTGCCATAAAAATATTCAATGACTTGTATCAATCCTCCCCTCAGTTTTCTCTTCTCCAAGATCAATAGTCACACATTCTACACTCTGTCCATGTAATTGAAGCCTCTCAACCTAGGGGTATAAGAACATGGCCAGAAGTAGGCCATTCAGCCCTCTGAAGCCTATTCACCATTCAGTGACATCATGGCTGACCTTCCACACAATATAACTTGCTTGTACTATCCCTTGATGTTTTTAATATGTAGATAATTATTAATCTCAGTTGTGAATATAGTCAATGACTGAGGCTCTACAGCTCTGGGGCAGAGAATTCCTAAGATTCAATACTTTCTAAGTGAAGAAATTTCTCCTCTTCTCACCCCTAAGTGGCCTGCCCCTTATTTTGAGACCATGTGCCTGGTTCTAGACAGCTCTACGTCCACCACTGAGGAATCTTCCTTCCTGTATCAATCCTGACAAGCCCTGTAAGAAGGCAGAATTTATAATGAAATCACATTCCATTTTTCTAATCTCTAGAAAGTAGAGATAACCTAACACTTATGATACAATGATTACTGTCCCATCAATTTTCCCCTTCTGATCCAGCATTATAAGATTCTCCTGAACACACTTTAGAAAGTTTTCCCTCTCTCTGCTCTTTAACATACGACCAACCCACACTGTATTAGGATAATTAAAATTTCCATTATCTTTAGTTGGTCACTTCTGCATCTCCTTCTAATTTTCTTGCAAATTTGCTCTCTGTACCATTTCCACTGGTTGGGTGACACCTAGTAATGTGATGGTGCCTCTTTTCTTTAACTTTAAACAAACAAATTTAATCTTTCACCCTCTGGGATATCCAATCTCTCTGGTGTGTAATATTCCGTCAATACTGTCACACCTCTACCTTTCTTTCCCTCCCCACCTTTCATTATCCGAAAATATCGACCAACCAGTCCTGCCCATTTTGTGCCAGTTTCACCATGCAGCTTCTGCTTTCCCCTTCCTCATTGTGAGGCATGTTGTTGCAGAAACCTCAATGAAATGCTGCAGTCCATCTTGTAGACTAGCTGCACTGCAGTAACAAAGTGAAGGGTAGTGGTGGTGGGTGTAGGTGTTTAAGCTGAAGGATGAGGTGATAATTGAGCTGGCTGCTTTATCCTGTATGTCGAGGTACCCAACGGTTGTCAGACCTACGCAACTATTGTCATATATTCTCCACACGTATATCAGCACACCCCCGGCTGTGTCTTGGGGATAGTAGAAACTGCAGATGCTGGAGAATCTGAGATAACAAGGTGTAGAGCTGGATGAACACAGCAGGCCAAACAGCATCATAGGAGCAGGAAGGCTGACGTTTCGGGCCTAGACCCTCCAT